TCAAACGTTAGTTTTAATATCAAATATTTATTTTACATTAACATGGATCATTACACTACTTACCACATTGCGCAGTTCAAAAAGAGCCGTTGGACCAAAAGGAAGGTGGATTATAAACAAACCATCAGGTACGCCACGATTTTCATGAACCAAAACAACATCTGTAAAATCATGTGCACGGCAAGTTTCAATAATTTCAGAAATAACCTGCAGGGTTTGGGAGAAAAACACTGTCAATTAGATAGTTTACTATGGAAAATAGACCAAAGGATCAGAACCATGGCAGGTATATCCTCAAATGTGATAAGCTGTCGAGAAAGAATTCTAACATCTAACATAAATAGAATAACATCAGAAAAAATTGAAGAGGTCATTTGCCTGGAAAAAAGATATTCACCATGTTCTTAAATGTAGGGGTCAATCTAAACATAATCGCAACACCAAACAAATGGTGAACGGTAAAGGACGGAACAAACTGAACTGAAAATCAAAGGCACATATGTGGTCGGTATTTCGCGACATTACAATTTGGTTGCGGTGAAATTGTGGTTTTGCAGTATCTCGGTAGAAAATGCCAGCCCTAGTGCCAATGACTTAATGTGAGTAGCTCATGGTTAAGCACATGGCACATAACAGAAGTGCAACAGCACCATGCACAAAAAATATTTGCAAATAACCAATTCCAGGAACTTCTCTATTTTCTGGTGCGTATGGAAAAGTTGAAATGACAGAGCTTTGGGGTCTAGGATTCTTTTATGGACTTAGAAACACAACCTGTACAACCACTTTACTACTAGTGCAACGATTAGGTTGATTTTTTCACAACTTTTTGTTTATCTTATTTCTGTACTGAGCATATAACTTATAGACTCTTCCTAAAAATCTATTTTTTCTTGGTGCTAAAATTCAATAAAATAAAAAAATAAAAAGATCCTAAGCTTTACAAGGTACATGGATTTTTTTGTTAGCAGGTCCTACCAGTTATGAGTTCATGTTAAGCAAATAATAATTCATCCCAATTGATTAACTTCATAGTATATGCTTAATTTCTGTTACCGGTGTCGTGTTGTCTAGAAAATTAACACCATACATACATTTTTTGTTTTTTTTTTTTTAATTATCAGGGAGGGGGCATTCAAACTTGGGATCTCTTCCAACATTAGGAAGAGAAACACCAGTCGACTAAGATCTAGTCAGTTCCCTAAAACATATTTAAAAAGGTGAACAAATTATTTTCAAAAGACTGATGAATGTCCATATCAAAAATAGAACTGTGAAATAATTCACTGTTGCATTCATATAAAAGATTCAACATCCCGGCCCAATCTCACAAACTCCTAGCACCAAAATGTCCAACATATCTAAGTCCTAATTTCAGACTAAACCCCATGAGGTGTACGATTTTTCCAAGCATAAATTTTGTTATCACACACTGGGCATATATTTGATATCCATGAAAAAGCAACAAAAGCAAAACTTGGAAAACGCATATCAAGAAACTGATGATTATGTAAAAACAAACAGGGAATAAAAGGAAAATAAGCCAAACAAGTCTGGGCGAAAAAGTTCACCAACCTGACCACCACGGTTCATTTGTTGTGCATTAGGAAAAACAAGTTTCAGTTCCTACAACAAGTGTTACGTGAACCACAATAGCACTAATCAAAACCAAATTTGCAGCAAATAATACGAACCAACAAATTGAACACCAAAAGTGCAACTAGATGAACAAGAGACATTGAAAGAGGCTAGGCCAACCTTTGCAAATTGTACTAGCGGAGCACTTGGATTCCGGGAAGTAGTTATCAAAATCTTGGGATCTCTTTCTGCTGCTTTTGCATACTCGTCGTCGATATGTGTCCTTGGGACTAGGATTCAAAAATGAAAACAGGGAAGAATTGACCACATGATAAAATGTAAAACTACAAATTACAGGACGGTTGGGTATCAAGAGTTTTTCGAGTATTTGTTTTAAATTATAGACATCATGTACATAGAGCCAATTTCTAAGTGCACTTGTACAGGCTCATCATCACTACATGCAAATTTTTACTGAATGTCCTCGAAAAGACCCATATCTATCTAGCCTTTTAAGCCTCATTTCTTAATTTCAACTTCCTTACCTATAATGTGAAAATCAAATAAACTTTAACCATTCATTCTTCTCACAGTTTTCCTTTTTCCTTCTTCAAAAACCAACAGAACCATCAAGAAAAATACATTGGCGGTCTAAACAACCAGAGAAGAGAAAAAAGAATTTCTATATACTCATATACCAGCAGTGTTCTCATCTTCGAGATCAATTTCTCGACGAAGCTCCGCCTCTTCATTCTGAAGCTCAGTGGGAATCGGTTTTCCCTCTGCAAGAAAACAAAAGGTGTACCAAATTTGTTGAAGAATACATGAGTCCCACGTCGAAAACTTAACAAAATAGAAAGTCTGAGTTCTTCCTATCCTAGTATGCCAAACTCAGGGAGACTATTGATTTCATTTCTAATGGCAATGGGTGATTGATTAGATCCAATGAGAAGAGCAGTGTTTGATTGGGCTAAACGCTTCAATATTATTCAAGGTATTGCTAGAGGACTTGTTTATCTCCACCATGATTCCTGTTTTAAGGTAAGTAATATTCTGTTGGATGAGAAGATGAGCCCAAAAATTTCAGATCTTGTATATATAGACGCCAAGCAAAATTTAGCTTCTTTTTTATTTTCCTTGGTGTCTATATATACAAGAGTTCGTCTTCTTATAATTTTCATTAAAAGGAACCTTCTCTCCTTCCCTTCCCAGTATATATAGGCCGCCACTCGATCCTAGTGTAGAAGATCAGCTCCGCCACTTCTTGCTTTCTCTTTAATTAAGGTTTCAAGCTTTGTTCCTTGTTTATTTTTCTTAGTGTTATCTGTTTTCTTTTTCTTTTTCTTTTGGGTAAAGTTTATAGTTTGCGTTTTCAAACTGCATGCTAAGCCACTTTGTTGTAGTGATAGGCAGGCGGATCTCATGGTTTCTTACTAGTCTGCTGTGTGGGGAAGTTGATCCAAAATACTTTGTTAAAATCTGGTGTTGTTAGAATTCTTCTGCTCGTTCTGGTCAGATGTCTGAGATCACTCTAGATCTTCCCTAGCTTTTAACTTCTGTCACGTAACTAGTTGGGCTTTGTTCGTGCCTCCTTGTTCCTTCTCCTTTTTTTGGCAATAAACCCCTTCCCCGTTTCCAATATCATCACTTCACTTGCGTCATATCTTAAAACTTGCAAACTGATGTTAGTAACTTAATTAGTATTAAATTAATATTGAGCATGATTTGAGTGCTGTTATTTTTTAATGAACCTTTTTTTTCTCCAAATATTGTACCTATTTTTTTTCTTTATTACTTGTTTTATGGAAAATAATTTGATCATCTTTTATTGTTTGTTTTATGAAAATAATTTTTTTTTAATGAGCTTATTTTTTCTCTCAAATAATGTACCTATTTTTTTTTCCTCTAATAATGTACCTAGTATAATGAACCTATTTTGTTTCTCTAATAATGTACCTAGTAAAACTATTTACCTAGTATAATGAACCTATTTTTTTCTCTAAATAATGTACCTTTTTTTTTCTCTAATAATGTATACCTAGTAAAACAATTACCTAGTATAATGAACTTATTTTTTTCTTCTAAATAGTGTACCTATTTTTAATTTATGAAAAATGTACGGAAATTTCAATTACAAAGTAATTGACCTATTTTTATTATTTTTTATTTGGTAAATAATATACCTATGTATATATTTTTATTTTTATTTTTCATATGTACATTATTGGATATGTAATTTACATATATATATATATATATTTTTGCAATTTTAAGGGGCCATATGTTAGAGGGAATGACAACCAAAAGAAATGGGTTGATTGATATGCTATTAATAGGGAGTTTTAATTACAATTATGGAAGTTACTGAAATGTTTGGAATAAATTATATATAAAATATGAAATCTGATGACAAGGATGTAAAAACGTAGGAATACTACAACCTCTTATATCCTACTGGTCATTTAAGTTTCAAATTGGGTTTTGCACATAGATTTATAGAATGATGGGTATATGTCTAGGGAATAGAAATTGTAGGGAACTATATTGAAGAAGCCCAAAAATAAAATAAAATTTCAGACTTTAAGTCACTAGGCTCTTAATACCATAAAAGAATTGGAACGTATGGCTAAAGCCTCAAACATTATGAGGGCATATTGTATTGATTTATACAGCATTACAGATAGAGTCATATATCAAGAATACAATGTAATCAGATAACCAAGAGGAATCCCACATGGGATAAACGTAAATACAAGATAGAGTCCTGAGGACAATAGTCATCTAATAGGTTGAGCAAAACATGAAGCAACCAAGCAAATGAATTTCCCGCATTTCTCTGTTATATTCTTGTAATTCAAGAAGACTAATTTCTTTTTCTTGGTTGATGTTTCTTGGTAGTTTTTTTAGCGAGAACAATGGTGATGCCAACCGAAACTGAAAGCCCAATATACCTGATGGTTAGGGCAGATGAAACGATTTTTTGGTACGTCATTGAAAGGAAATCCACGGCGGCGACGGCAGAAAATGATAACAACAACGAAGGGAGGAACATTGTAGTGCTGCGTGCGAGCGAAAGAGACAGAGTCCGACAACTCAATCTGCAGAGTTTTTGGGGCGAAGGGTTGAAAAGGATTGACTTCAGCAGGCTTGTTGCCCTGAACCGCCGCTTGTACCTCATTGGCAGTACCATTGGGGACACAAATAAAGTCGGTAGGGTCGGGTTGAGGTACATTGACTTGGATGCTACTCCGACGCCGATCTGGCATATTGGGGGCGGAGTTAATAGCGACAGACAAAGAGGGGCTATTGCCCGAGAGGATGGCTGGATCTTTACTTCGGGACATAACCTCTACCGTGTGAATCATCCTAGTGGCGACTCCACCAAGTTGCCGAAAAAGGAAGGCCTGAGAGATGAAGTACATATGCTTGGTGTTACTATGAGTAATATTTTGGTTTATGTCAACGAGTTAGATTATAACACCATGTACTCCATAGATTTGAGATCCAATCGCTGGGAAGTCATTTGCGACAGATTTTGGGGTGTATGGTCCCCTGGGGTGATACTTTTTGACAACTCGCTTTTATTCTCCCTTGGAACGCAAAACCCATCATCGGATAAAGCATCCCTCGGTTTTAAGGCTCGACCAGGGGTTTATGCATTTGATATTCGTGCTCGTAGATGGTTGTCCAGGCCACTTGAGGGCCTGAAAAATGAGGTAGGCCATGAAAATTTTGGCCCTGACCTTGGCCTTGAGACAGTCCTTCCCAGTGAGGGTTCATATGACCGTGGAGTTGTCCGTGGCCCTACGGATGAGCCTGTAGACCCATTCAAGCCATGGTGGGTTCCACTGTCGTTGGTTAAAGTTGGAGTCGAGAATGGCGACCACAAGTTGGGTTTGGTATGGGATCGCATGATCATCTACGACAACGATGTAAAGTCTTGTCAAATTCATTGGTGCAAGTTCAAGATACTTACCCCTAATGGTGGTGATATATTAAAGGCTGAATTGCTGTCAAGTGGAATATGCAATCTAGATAAAACCACTTACATGGTGATGAATTGCACAGCAGGATTGTAAGTAACGTCCCTTAATATGCATTTGCTAATTAGTTGTTATGTTTATCAATCTAGCTGCATGTGTTTTTTGTTGTGTCGTGCCATCTTTCCGATCACAACCCAGAGAGTTTAAACTATAAGTAATATATATATATATATATATATATATATGGAGAAGTCAGCATGCTATTAATTATCTCTTTGCAATCACATCGACACGTATACTCTGCTTGAGACGACTGACAGTAGACTAAGTGTGGTTAGTTTGTCTACGGCTAAATTTAAAACTTAAACAAAAGCTGAACAAGCACAACTTTCTCTTTAGAGATAAGAAGTTTCAAACTAAATGCATAACTTTTCTTTTTTGCTTTGTCTGCCCAATAGCCTTTTTAAGTTTGTGTCTCAAGTTGTTTAGACTGGCTAATGTAAGTTGGGTAATTCCAAGGACCAATTTTTCTTTGCATTGTGAAAATATTAAGCCGTTTTGGAGGATGAAAGAAGACTAAAGGTCTTCGGGCCTGTTTGGTGCGTGGCCCCTGTGGTTTCGGTTATTTGGATGACAGAAAACAAAATTCTTTGTTAAATGTTGGCTCCTATTGCTGAACTGATGAGCATCAAAACTTTGAATAATGAGTCATTCAACCAATCTCGTAAGCTTCCGAGCTTTTATTATAGGTTCTAAATTGCATGACACTTAATGCTATGTGACTCTCATTATTTGGCTATACTCATTGACAGGGTAGTTGCACCAAATGAGGGCAATGAAGAAGAGAAGGGTGATAAAAGAAGAAGAGAAGGGTAATGAAGAAAAGTAACTTGAAAGTCAGTCATATATATTAGTTTATCTGTATAATCTTATGTTGATGCTAATTTTATCTCATTGTTTGACTGTGTATCTATTAACAGGGTCACTGCACCAGATGTCGGTAATGAAGAAGAGGGTAATGAAGAAGAGTGACTTGAAATACATATTAGTATATTTGTAGAATCTTATGTTAAGCTGGGACTTGGTCATATTACCTAAAAAATATGACAAAAGAAAAATGGGGACTTTGCTATGGATATTTGAAGTTTCGTTAATGAAGGTTATCTTTGAATCATGGATTTTGGATTAATGTTATGTTTAGTGTTAATGATTTGATTCAGAAATGATGGCGATGCCTCAGGTGGCGTCGCCATATCCTTTGAGTTTTAAAGATAAACTCAAGTGCCTCCGGGAATGATTCACCTCCTCCATTCCAGCCATACGACTATTTGGAATAGTGGTATAGATGCTTTGCTTGAGGACTCAAAGGAGAACTGTGTTTGCTTCTTGTCTGGCTAAGTTAAATTCAAACGTCAATGCCAGTTTTAGCAAAAAAATAAATATACGGAACAGGGATAAGCTTTTCCTTCAAGAAGCATCAATTTAAACTTGAAACTCATTCTCTCCCTTTGGGGAGGCTAAAGTGAGTTGGGTAAATTCTTTCCTGGGAGCAACTTTGCTGTGGGTAAATTTTTTGTTTTGTGACAGCATCAAGGTTGGTTTTTGATACAAAAACTACTGCAGTTATTTGGGGATGTTTGGTGGTAGCTGTTTTGTGATTTGGGTTATTTGTGCACAGAGTTTCTATTTCCATTCAGAAAAGAAAATGAGGAATTAGAACCAAAAGTTCAAGACAGGGAGGGTTACTTATTTACATCTAGTATCTTGCTCAACCAAAACAGTGATTTCAAATGTAGTCCCTGACTCTTATTTGTCCAACTCATAATATTCAAATTTTAGATGAGTATTTGTTAAACAAATTTCACAACAGCCTTTTACACTCAATCGAGGACCTGAACATCTGAACTTTAACACATCCACACTACCTTTTCCGTAGTAGTGCGTTTGGATGAGGTATTTTGACAAAAGTCAAAATTTTTAAATTGAGACATGAACCAATTCCAGTGTTTGGATTTAAAAAAACATAGAAATTTAAAATTTTCACGTGGGAAAAAACATGGAATTTGGAAGTCATCCCAACTTTGAATTCCATCTAAAAAGTCGTCATTTTCAAAATTTCAAGAGACAAGTAAAAGCTAAATTTCGTATTTAAATTCATTACCGAAACAAGAAAATTTACAAATTCTAAAATATTAATTTCCATCATTTTAAATTCCATTATTTATGAATTCATTTGTACTTTCAAATTTCCTCATCCAAACGCACTGTTATCAGTCTTCCATTCATGTTTCCATAAAGCTACACAAGAAATGCAGCAAGGTACTTTTTGTTGGCGAGTCCTTACTTAGTTAGGATTTTGGTTCCTTACTATGTTAGGATTTTAGTTACTTACCATTTATCTAGTCATATTATAATTGAGATTTATTTTCTATTGTAATTTAGATATATTTCCTATTTTATTTAGGGTTAACACATCTTTGTACTTGTATAAATACCTCCATATTGGAGAAGAATATAAATATGAGAATATCTGAATTTTTTCCCCAACTTTGTTTGACTCTTTTCTACTGATGAAGTGCGAAGCGGGTGAAGAAGATAAGAAAAGAGCAGAAAACTCTCACAATCTTCATTAAGCATAGACAGACAGAGTTTGATACAGTGCATAAAATAGTTAAACAAACGCAGAAAATTTGAGGCAACTGGACATCATTTCGGGTGCGACAGATTTTGTATCCCTTTTCCTTGCTGCACGCTTTCCTTTTTCTTGGGCCGTTTCTTCCGCCCATCGCTTTCCTCAATCTTAATCTGTCTACCGCAAGTAACGGCTAGTGATCAAGATTCACACCACATCAAATCCCCATAAACTTCTGTTTCTTGGCTATGTTCATGTATGGCTTGAAGACCCATTCATCCTGGGCTTCAGTCTGATCCAGGTGTTCCCAACTTTATCTGCCACACCAGATAGAGAAAAAGCGTAAGCAAAACAATACAATGAAATATTAATTAACAAATGTACTAGAGTCATAGAAATCTCGAGGTTCAACTTTAACCATTATGGCCAATTTAAACCTTATGTGTGATTAGTAACTGCTTTTGGAGACGATTCAATATATATTCTCCTATCCAGATGTTCGGAAGTTATTATCGTGCGGATGCCATGTATCATCTGCTACCCCTCCCTGTTTACAACGGCATCCGTACAATAATAACTTATATATATTATATATACAGAAATTCTCTTATACGAGCGTCATGTATTTTCTACTATCCCTCCCTATTTTCCTCCAAATTTATAGTGGCATGATATGTGTGCGTGTGTGCACGAGCGCGCACTAGCCAACAAAGTAAAATACATGAAATATTACAGTCTACTCGAGTTATGTATAACCATTTTCATTGAAGAAAAAGAATCACACTCCATTCATCTGTCCATGATGGCCATTTATGGGAAGGTACACCAATATTTTCTAGTTTAAGGCTATGTTTTAAACTATTCTTGGTCTTGGAGAATAGTACCCACCCTTTCCCAACCATTTTTCAGGAGAGAAGGTTGGGCCATAGCGAAGAAAGGCTAAAATGTTCAAGGCAGGACACTTCAATGGGCAAACCTACCACAGCGAATGCCTGTAACCTCATAACCAGACATATTGAAGTACTTTTGGGTGCAGTTGAAACAATACAAAAGGTGAACAGACATGAAGGCAAAAAGACTAAAAATAGAAAAATATATACAAAACAGTAAATTAAACTGAAAATAAGAGAGCAAGTGTCATATCAATGCAAAGAAGCACAAATCCTTGACCATATAGGTAAAGCACTGTTTATACCAAAATGAACAGCCAATGAATACCAAGCACGTGGACCAAACCAGGGCTACGTGTGCCTTCGGCACTCGCCTTCGGTACCAGACCTACCGATGGCAACATTAGGGCAATCTCGCCTCTCTGACACGTGGCAGCCCCACAACTGACGCCCAGAGTCCCACATCGAAACTCTAAGCAAATTGCACACCTCCCAAGGCCTATAAAAGAGGACACCCATCCCAGCTTGAAGGTAATCAATCAGAACTTACGGCATACTGCCTATTGATCTGTAGTTCAACTTTACTAAATCCGTACTTACTTAAGCATCGGAGAGCCTTCGGCCGGTACCACACCGGTGCCCTAGGATTTACCGTGTGTTTGCTATCTTACAGATCGCACACCCTACGAGGACATCAGGTACCGAAGAGACTTAATCACTAAGTTGCGCGGGAAAGTACAGAACCATTTTTCTGCGTCAACAGTTTGGCGCCGTCTGTGGGAAACGATATAATCAACCTACAATTCCTAAACAAAACAAATGGGAACCACTTCAGGACCACAGTTCCTATCAGAGGATGGATTACCGTACGGTATGCCAAGTGGAGCAAGCCCCGCGCTGCACCCTGGCACTCCCTTCGGTAATCCTCCTGCGCTTCAGACCTCGGTCGAGGCAGAGCTTTTGGCTCAGATGACCTCCCTCCGAAAGGAGATGGCTAAACTCCAAGAACGTAACAATCATCTTTCGTCCAAAGTGGACGAAACCCAACGGTTGCTCAACCAACAGGAAACGCAAAACGCTCGGACCACCGAATCTTCCCAGAGTCAGCAGACCCCCGGTCGGCAGAGGAAGGGAAAACAGGGGGCAAAGGCAACGCCTGCGCCTTCCAAGCAGCTGGTGGTCCCAGCACCCCAGGACCAACCGCACGTACCGAAGAAGGTATACACCGATTGTCGTCATCGGATCAACGACAAGAAGGATGCCGAACGGCATAGGTCCCCAATCAGACTAAACGCCAACTTGAGGGACTCCCGGATGAGGGTCTTGGGGGATAAATCGCCCCTTCGGAGGGCTCAGGGTTTGGATTCGGCGCAGGAATCCGACGATGAGTACATCCCCACCAGGGACACCGAATCGAGCTACCGTTCGGAAGCTCCCCCGGAGTATTCGAAGGCGAGATCACCAAGTCCAAGGAAAGCTTCCGAAGACTTTGGTTCCGAGGACGTCCCCAGCCGAGACCCCACCATCCGATTACTTTTCCAAAGAATCCAGAAGATGGAGGAAGACCGAACCCGATCCCAGGTCCCTGACTGGGGAAAACTTCGACCCGGGCCCTTTACCGAGCGCATCAAGAGGTCCAGACCGGACAGGGAGGTGCAGCCGCTGCGCATACCCTTCTATACCGGTGTGGAGGACCCTCTGACGCACCTCCACTCATTCCAATCGGCAGTTGGGTGTAAGGGCCTCAGCGACGAGGGACAATGTCTGCTGTTTCCCTCGTCCCTTACCGGAGCCGCTCTGAACTGGTTCTACCGTCTGGAACCAGGGACGGTACACTCCTTCGACGAATTGAAGCAAATCTTCCTCAACCACTTCATGATCCAGACGGACCGTTTGTACTCTGCCGACGATCTGTACACAATTCGGCAAAGGGAGGACGAGCCCCTACGGGAATACGCCGCACGCTTCAGTCACGAGTACTCAAGGTGTCCCGAAACGGACGATAGGGCAGCCTACGGCGCCTTCAAAAGTGGCCTACGGTCCTCTCACTTCCGGTACCTCGTGCACAGTAGCAACTGGCGCACGTATGACGAATTAATGAAGCAGGCGGCAGTCCATGCGAAGGCCGAATACTTCAACTCCAAACCCGGGCCTTCGGCTCGGAAGGAGGAATCGGCGGCCAAAAGTTATCCAGGCCGAACCGACGAACCGTCGGCAGGACACAAACGGAAGGACGACCGGGATAACCGTCAGGGAAACTCAAAGAAAGGACGTGGGAAGTACGGTCGTAACGACCACCGGGCACCCTTACCGAATCACGATCGTGCTCAGGAAGTCTTCACCCTGCTGAACACGACATACGAGACCGTTCTAATGAACGAACATGACCAGATCCCGAAGCCGACCAACCGGAAGCCCAATCGGCAGGATAATCGGGATACTGGCAAATTCTGCCGATATCACCAGCAGAACAGCCACAATACCGAAGACTGCATCAGTCTGAGGAAAATTGTCGAGCGCCTGATCCGGGAAGGGAAGTTGGATCAGTACCTTGCCAGGCCGCCACAGGCCCCGGCACCGAATGCGAATCGGCAGATCAACATGATCAACACGATCAGCGGTGGCCCCACCCTGGCGGGACCCTCTAACCGCTCGGCGAAACAGTATGTGCGCGCCGCCCACTGCCCTCAGGTCTTCGGCATAGCGGAGGATCGGTGCCGAAAGTTGTCAAAGGTGGGATGGGAGCCCATCACGTTCAGTGAAGAAGAAGAGGAGGGGATCATCTACCCCCACAACGACCCAATGATCATTCGGGCCGAGATCGCCGATTACGACGTGGGTCGGGTGCTGATTGACACCGGAAGCTCGGTGAACGTAATCTTTGCCGATGCTTTCAAGGGACTGGGGATTGCGGATAGCATGGTCAATCGGCAAATCACGCCTCTCCTCAGTTTCTCTGGAGATCTGGTACAACCGGTCGGTAGCATCAGTTTGCCCATTGCCTTCGGCGTGGCCCCCAGGAAGACCATGACCTACGACCAATTCCTCATTGTTGACTGCCCAACGGCATACAACGTCATCATAGGGCGAACGGCATTCACCAGGATCAAAGCCCACCTATCCACACACATGTTGCTGATGAAGTTCCCGACACGCAACGGTACCGGAGCCATCCGGGGCGATCAGCTCAGCGCACGGACGTGCTATGCCACAGCACTTAAGTCGGTAGCCAGCAAACCGCCAATGGAAGCCATGACCTTGCAGGGACTACCGAACGGTAACGAACCCGTTGACGACCCCCGGGAGGAAAACCCAACGCCAATGGCACAGCCCGCCGAGGAGCTTAAGACCATAATCCTGAACAAGGATTTCCCCGATCGGTGGGTGAAGATCGGCACCAATCTGAGCCCCGACCTCCGAGGGCAGTTCATCGACTTCTTACGGCAGCATGCGGAGGTCTTCGCCTGGTCTTATGACGATATGCCCGGCATATCACCCGAGGTCATCAGCCACAAACTCAGCATCTCCCCCGCCCACAACCAGTCAGGCAAAAACGCCGATCGTACGATGCCGAACGGTATGAGGCGATGCGTGCCGAAGTTGACAAGCTCAAAGCCATCGGCTTTATCAGGGAAGCTACGTACCCTGTTTGGCTTGCCAACTCAGTCATGGTTCGGAAGGCCAGGGGAAGATGGCGAATGTGTCAGGACTATACCGACCTGAATAAGGCATGTCCGAAGGACAGTTTCCCATTGCCAAGGATCGACCAGCTCGTCGATGCCACCGCCGGGCACGAGCTGCTCAGCTTCATGGACGCGTATTCAGGATACAACCAGATCTTCATGGACCCTGCCGATAGAGAGCATACGGCATTTATCACGGATCGCGGTTTGTACTGTTACAATGTCATGCCCTTCGGCCTGAAGAACGCAGGGGCAACTTACCAACGGCTCGTCAACCGGATTTTTGCTAAATACAACGGCGGCATCATGGAGGTATATGTCGACGACATGTTAGTAAAAAGCCGAACGGCAGGGGATCACCTGGAAAACTTGGCCCTCATGTTCGGTATTCTAAAGGACTACCGAATGCGGCTAAACCCGGCGAAGTGCGCCTTCGGTGTATCTTCCGGAAAATTTCTCGGGTTCATGATCAGCCAAAGGGGAATCGAGGCCAATCCCGAGAAAATAAAAGCCATCATCGACATGGAGACGCCGAAGACACAGAAGGACATTCAGAGCCTTACCGGACGTGTCGCTGCATTGACACGCTTCATCTCCAGGGCTACCGATAAATGCGTGTCGTTCTTCAAAGCTTTGAAAGGGGGCAAACATCATATAACGTGGACTCCCGAATGCGACCAGGCATTTCAAAACTTGAAGAACTATATGAGCCAGGCACCACTGTTATCGAAACCGCTGTCAGGCGAGGTACTACTTCTATACCTTTCGGTGTCCAACACTGCCGTTAGCTCTGTGTTGATAAGAAAGCCGGAGAAGGCGGAGCTACCGATCTTTTATGTCAGCAAGGCGCTCCAGAGCGCAGAGCTTCGGTACCCACCCTTGGAGCAACTAGCACTGGCCCTGGTCGTCTCGGCAAGAAGACTTCGCCCCTACTTCCAGGCTCACGAAATAACAGTTCTGACGAACCAGCCTCTTCGGCAGGTACTCCAGAAGCCGGAAACATCGGGCCGATTGGTCAAATGGGCAATCGAGCTGGGGGAGTTTGACATACAGTTCAAGCCAAGGCCTGCAGAAAAAGGCCAGGCCGTTGCCGATTTCATCTCCGAGCTCACACCGCCTGCTTTATCGGAACCATCATCGCCGAGCGTCGGCCCTACCGCACCAGAGAGAATGAGTACCGAACGTTTCGACAGTTCTGTTCCTCTCTGGATTCTGCACGTGGACGGCTCGGCAAACCAGCAAGGCTGTGGTGCCGGCTTGGTGTTAACCACTCCGGACGGTAGCAAAATCGAGTACGCCCTCCGATTCAACTTCCGAACCTCCAATAACGAGGCAGAATATGAGGCCCTCCTGGCTGGCCTTCGGCTAGCCCACAGCATGAGCGCGAGGCAGATCAGCATTCACAGCGATTCCCAGCTCATAGTAA